GTATCTAACTAAAAACAAACATATGTAATCCCTATCTAAAAAAAAAGCAATCGAATAATTGAAGTAACCCCATCAAACCCATTGAACAGAACATATATCAATTGGGTAGGACCGGACGATGATAATTGCGGTCCAAGAGAAAAGAAATACAAGAATCGAGAATCATACGATCATTACATTCAATTCAGTTTGAACTCTGACCATCTTTTTCTTCAAAATTCACGACGCCAAATAATCAAATCGCATCTAGATAATAAATAAAAGCCGAATGATGAAAACTGTTGCTCCATTTCAAATTTCCTGCAACGAGAGTGATTATAGGAAGGACATTTTGGTCTTCACAATTGCTTATTTTTCTTATTTATTTATTCATAAAAGAGGCAAGCACTGGGATTTGAACCTTGGTCTCTTTAAAGGCAAGCAAGGATCATAACCAATCACACTAAGTATATTTGTTGTATCTATTTAAATTCAAACATACACGAACCTAAATTATGAAAATCATATGACTTTTTTAACGATTAGTTGGCCACTGAATCTCCCGTAAGTACTTATTTGGTGTTTTAATACTTTGATTATTTTAGTTGTAGTTTAATACTTAATTTAAATTTCTATCTATTTTATAAATATACAATAATCCTAAAATTGCAGCCCAAATATCACTGGTTCGAATATTGCATATCGAATTGCAATATTAAACATGTAGAAGCAATATCGACTTCTTAAATTAATATTATTTTTCAGAATTACTATGGAGAAATTATATCTTTGTGCAAACTATATGAGACTGGTTCTTTTAATGTTTTAGTCGGGATAACCGCTACATTTTAAACTTCTTCATAATCTGGCATGATTGGATCCAATGATCATTATACAAGATTGTGTTTAATAGGGTGGCTCATATCACCACTTTTTGGCGTGTTAATGAATTTGTAGGACAATGACAGGTCTACATCTACACTCATCACAATCTACACATCATATAAATGTGAAATGAGAAAAGAGGGATTCCATTTCAAATTTGATGCGTACAAAATAATTTTTTAGGGGTAAATTTAGAAGATGTCAGTGCGGTCGGTCTGTTGAGCACGAAAGTAAAAATATATTTTCATTTAAACTGGCCCAAACTGTTATTTGGCCCACTAATCGTGCACCCATCGCCAATGCAGTCAAATTCGGGATTTTGATCGTAAAATCGTAGGATTTTAGGATTTTACTTAGGGATTCTGATCTTGATTTTACTATAAAATTGGTGGACCTTAAAATCGTTTAAAATCGGGATTTTGATCGTAAGAGAACAAAATAGGTGCTTTGAGCCAATTTAAAATAAGTATAACTGTTTCAGCGGAAAGGGCAATGGAATCTTCTCAGATATTTTTCTATTAGAAAAATATTCAAAAATAATAAAAATAACCAAATTAGGGTTCGGTTAATCTCTTTCCCTTCACCCCATTTAACTTATTGGTAAAACACCTGTCCTAATATTGAAAGTATGTAAGAACTAACATCATTATTAACTAATTAATTTATTAATGAATATATTTGTACCAAGCCACTAACATTACTTATTTTATTGAAGTTCAATTATTTTTAGTTTTAAATCATACTTAGTAGACGATGTAGAAATATTACTTTGAGTTAAACAACCTAGACATAGCATGAAAATAAGAGCCAAACCCATGAACTATATCCCTTCATCATGAATTATTTTGAGTTACACATTAAATAACAATTAAAATAGTGATTTTGGAACATTAATCTTGAGAATTATCTTATGGAAAAAAAATCTTATGAATTATCATTTTAAATGCTATGTGTCTTTGTGATATTAATAATTTACCTTATTAATATTCTTATATGCTATGTTCTATATGGTATTTAAAATCCTACGATTTTACGATTCGATTATACGATTTTGATTTTACCCCAGTTTTCGATTTTAGGTAAAATCTCGATTTTAACTGCTTTGCCCATCGCAGCCTCTCCAAATCTTCCTATTCTACTCGCCGGGTCATCTCCTCCACTACAAAATATCTCCTCATGTACTCAAAGTTCTCACTGAAACCTAATATCTACAACTTAGGCGCAGAGGGAGCAACCGATGGATTGTAGCGACCCCCACTATTTTGATAGCTAATCAAGAAGAGCGCGTTTGTTTAGTTGTATGGTGATTCACTTAATTAACAATTTTTATTCCGTTGACAGCCTCCTCTCCGCAATTGTATTGTGTTCACGAAGATCTGAAGGCGCAAGTGCAACAGGTTCAGGGGTAAACAATATGTATAAAGCGTTGGCCAAATTGAATTGAGTCATTCTACTTGGAATATGAAGATTTTTGCTTAATTGCTTTGGTTCGTGATGCAACTATGTTATGTTTGAAGGTAGACCAACGCAAACAACAACACAGCTCCAGGGCTATTCTGCACATTAGGTAGTTGGGGCATTAATTGATAATTATTTGGGATTATTCCTACAAGTACATAATTTGGAACGTGCCTTTATATTGCATTGATTAATAGTTGTTTGAGATTTTTCAAATGAGTGATTTGACATGTTAAACTCTCTTATTTTTGAAAATGGAGTCTTCGAAGTGGAATATGAAGATTTTGGATTAAGATTGGTTTCGTAATGCCCTTATGGGTGTTTATTCTCTAAAATGCAGCTGTCTTTCAAAGTGTCCGTTGCAAATGGCAAGTCAGGATACAACGATGATACCGGTACACGTTTATATCATTAGTAGGTAGCAGATTGTGTCCATTCTACTATATCATTTAGCTAAATACTTAGTTGTTCTTTTCAACTAAAAATTATGCTTAAATGCTGTGATTGGCCTCAGAAATGTATGTCTTTGCATTAACTGTTAATGATTGTGAGTTTTGGTTTAATGGTGAAAAGTCCATTTATTTAGAAGTCTAAATTGGGCAAACCTATTGGACAATAGGAATGCCATACATTAGTGTCGTGGGAGGTTTGTTTGATGTCTCAGGGTGTTAGATTTTTAAGAAGGTTGTTTGTTGTGGCAGAGAGTCCCTAAAGCTAGCGAGGTATTCCTATGTGGGCTTTTTCTTTGTTTGACTTTTTCTCGCCTTTTTTCTTATCTCTTTTTCTATTTTTGGTTTTTGTGTGCTACCTTCAGTTGCTACGTCTTCATTTGTGAGCCATCTATACTTTTCTTATTCAGTGCCTAAAAATCATATATACTCGATTGCATAGTAGTTACTAACAGATACATTTATACCAATAGAGAGATTTTAAGTTTTATCAGTTGTTAGTTTTAATATTTACTTACATTGGTTGTTTATGTAGTTTTCTTTATAATATTTCTCATTATACAACTAATTACTATGGCTACGTAGTTGTATAAGTGGGGGTTGGACATGATAGTTCTTAGAAGCATCAATACTTGAAGGTTATTATAATGACCAAATTCTAAAGTTATGGTTTGCCTTCAACTTGCTTGGAGCATTTCAATTATGCATCAATTGTTCTCTCCGTGTAGTTAACTCTCAGACAAATCGAAAATCTTGCTAATATGTGCTTGATTGTAGTTAAATTTAGGATTCTACTGCATTGTTGCTTTACTCTTTTTTCGTGGTTGAGTCTGCTTCAAAAAATTTAGTTTGATTTTAGAAAATTTTGTTTCTGCAGTCCTGTCTTGCCACCAACGCGTTCAATAGATGGAGATGGGAGGGGCGAAGGCTATTTTTGTGTTGTTGTTGTTGGTTTAGGGATCGGTTTGTGAAGAAGAGGGAGAAGAGAGGGGGAAAGGGAAATGCAGGAGAGGGGGATAACTCTTTTCTCCGACAAAAATGGAGTGAAGAAAGGAATTATGATCAGTAAGAATATGGTTATCTTACATAACGGTCTCTATTCTGTTTGAATTGAGCTTGAGAGGCAGTGATAAGGACGAGCTGCAACCAATTCATAGTGAGAAGAGAGCTATGAACTGTGATCATGTCTTATTTCAAGTTAGAAGGTAGTTTCAGTATAAAGATTATTTAATTTGAAAAGTTGTTTCGTCCATGATTCTTGGTAGTTTCAGTGCCATTCTAGCCAATGTTTAGTCTGTAATTTTTGAGAATTGATGTGCGAGTAATGACTTTCACTTAGCTTCAACTATTATGTGTGTATTTATTGGCATGTGATAGAATTCTCTTTTCCTTTTCATTGAACTCATTTTCACACTCTAATTGTATTATTTGTACATAGGCAAATCATGCTCGAGATGGCAACTCGCTGATATGGCTGGTGCAAGGAATGAAGCCATCATTAGAATTCAGACCGACAACGGGGAGGGATGCCCAGGACTAATTCAATGATGATTGATGATGGTATAATAAAAACTGCAGTCTGCACCAGCACCAATTTCTAGGCCTAAGTAAAGGTATTCAACCCAGAACTCTGCTTAGCGCTAAAAATTGCCCTCACCCAACCTTGATCTTGTTTGACCCACTTCTGAAGAGTCAAGATATATGACTAATCCTCCCCGTTCGTATTTTCTTATTGACTCTTTCTGACCCTGTAGGTTGGGGCGGATCGGGAAGAATTGGATTAGTGGGTCGGTCCTAATCAAGTGGAATCCCAATCCCTTCACTCTCACTTGCTTTCTCTCCCATTGGGTAACATACAGTAATCCGGCCAACGGGCCGGGTAATAAGCTAGTTATATTAGATCCGAGATAAGAAATGAAAACAATAGTGTTAGTGCGAAGACGTTTTTGGCACTTTTCCCTTTATGAAAAGCCTAAACACGTGCCTAACACCGTGATCCCGGAAACAAAGCCCCTCCGTCAAGTGGCAATCCCGTAATTTCCTTGAGTTCACACTTCTACTGATTATTGTATTCTCACCTTCGTATTTTAGCTCATCTTCTTCCCAGTACTCCTCCATTTCATTTAACTGCCCAATTTCTTTCGGGGGGGAAACCCCGCCAAATCCGCTTCCCCCCAGCTCGGCCGGCCGATCACCTCCGTCTCCTTTCGCCTTCCCTAACGATCGAAACAATTCTCCTTCTGCAGTGTGCGAATTGAGCGATGACGTCGGGGTCGAGAATGCCGACGTGGAAGGAGAGGGAGAACAACAAGAAGAGAGAGCGGCGGAGGAGGGCGATCGCGGCCAAGATCTACTCCGGCCTCAGGATGTACGGAAACTACAAGCTCCCCAAGCACTGCGACAACAACGAGGTCCTCAAAGCACTCTGCGACGAAGCTGGGTGGTCCGTCGAAGAAGACGGAACCACTTACAGAAAGGTACGCTTCAAGCTTAATTAGTAATAATAATCCCACTTATCATCTTACTTCCCTTTCTACTCTCCCTCCTCCTAGCTAGCTAGCTCCGTAATTTAATCAATTAATTTGGCCCAATCCACCGGCCGGCCGTCACGGAGGTGGTTAGATCTGCAAAATTGTTGATGTTTGCGGCCTGGCCGTCTCAATTTCCGATCATGAGCCGGAAGGAAGAAAACGAATTCCTCCGCTAAAATGCGCCGGGTAATTGGGCGCACGATAGCGGTCCGGCGGAAAAAAAAAAGTGGTCACGGGAAAGAGAGAGGGAGGGAGAAGCGTCACGCTTTCCGTCACCGTCGCCGTACCTCTTCCTTTTCCGTCTTCGGCCCTGTTTTAAGTGCACGGAAGACGAGATCTCAAGAATCGGCCAACGGCGCGGTTAAGAAACAGTAAAACCAGGTGCGGACAGCGAGCACAGTCCGTCAGTTGGACCAAAACCTTCCGTCCTCTCTCTACTCCTCTTTGCGACTCGTTTCACGTGACGACGGATTACCTTTTTTTTTTTTTCTTTTCTAATTTTTTCCATCCCTTCCCTTTGGATGTTCCCCACCACTTTCTCCGGCAATAATGCAGGGGCGGGTAAAAAACAACAACAATTATTACTAACCTCGTTGGGTCGGGCCAGGTGTGAATTGGGCTTATAATTTCGCGGCCTGCTGGGTTGACTTTTTTGGGCCCGTGGTCGTTTTGTGCTTTCGGTGATGGCAAAATTGTGGTTTGTGCCTTTGTGGAGACTTATTATTGAGGATTGACTAGGTTGCAAAGCCAATGTTGGATCCTTTGGATTCCGCTTTCTAGCCTTGTTTGCTAAATCGTACTGTACCTTCGGTCCATGGCAATTTCAACCCGTCCCGCGGGTATTATCCGATCTGACCCGCGATGGGGCGGGTAACCCGACCCGCAGTAGCGTGGGGTGGGACGTGGGTATCTACTTTCGACCAGCCCTGCCCTGCCCCGCTCCGTTCTAAACTCATTTTATCTTAATTTCTTACAATATCTATACATATTTCTCCTATTTTGATTTTTCTTCAACTAGTTAGAGTCGATCTTTCAACTTGTTAGGCTCAATTACCCATTTCTATTATCAATATTTTTCATTCTTAAAGTGTTTTTCCCTACGTTTTATTGTAAAAAGTAAATTTTACTTGTATTTTTTTTGAACATGTAAGAGTGTGTCGACCCGCCCCGCCTCGTACCCGCGAGGGTTTTACCCGCCCCGACCCGTAGTAGCATGGGGCGGGGCATGGGAATTGAGGTACTCGCCCCACCCCATTGCCATCTCTAGTCCCATCAGAATATCGATTATTGGAGTTGAATCATTCAACTACGGATTAATCATAAACTTGAATGTGGTATAATTTTTTTTAGTATGAAATGATTAAGCTACGGATTAATCACAAAATGTGGTTAATCATATGTCATTTTGTTGAATAAAGAGACCATATGGTGTTCCAAGTTCCTAATGCCACAAGTTTGATTCATCAGCTTCCCTAATAATTGCGTTCTTTTTGGTTTCGAAACGTTTCAGGGTTGCAGACCAGTTGGAAGAACGGACATAATGGGAGGAGGAGGTTCAACATCAGCAAGCCCCTGTTCATCATACCAGCCAAGTCCCGCCTCATCTTCTTTCCCCAGCCCCATCTCCTCCCACTACGCTGCCGCTGCCGCGGCGGCCGGCGACGCCAATTCCCTAATCCCCTGGCTCAAAAACCTCTCATCCAGCTCATCTTCAACCTCCTCCAAAACCAACCACCACCCTCACAACCTCTACATCCACACAGGCTCCATAAGCGCACCGGTCACTCCACCGCTGAGCTCACCAACAGTCCGAACTCCGCGCAAGCGGAGCATCAACAGCGACTGGGACGATTACGCCGCCGGTGGCGAGCAGAACTACCCCTACATTCCTTCCTCGATGCCTTCATCCACCCCGCAGAGCCCCAGTCGCCAGCCCGATTCGGGCTGGCTGCAGAGCGGGCCGTCGTCCCCGACGTTCAGCCTCGTGTCCCCGAACCCTTTCGGGTTCAGGGACGAGCCGCTGTCCGGTGCAGGGTCGAGAATGTGGACGCCTGGGCAGAGCGGGACGTGTTCCCCTGCCGTGTTCGATCACACCGCGGATGTCCCCATGGCGGACAGCTGCATGGCGGCGGAGTTTGCTTTTGGGAGCGGTAGCAATGCTGGTGCTGGTAGGTTGGTTAAGGCTTGGGAAGGCGAGCGGATACACGAGGAGTTGATCTCCGATGATCTTGAGCTCACGCTCGGCAGCTCCAAGACTAGGTGAGATGATACATGGAAGAAAGAACTCAGGAAGAAGCTTTCCCGCCCTTTTGTTTTGAAACGTTGTGGTGTGATATTCATAGCTTCAGGCTGCAGGTCAAATGTGTAATTGAGTTGAAGGTAGAGTTACTCTCATCATTCCTTGGTCCAGTATCAGTTTCTTCTGATCCAGTCTTCCCTAGGCTTTCTTCCCTTACCATTCACATCAGCATGCTTAAGATTTTCAAGTCTTCCATTATCCTATATATAATCAAATTCGACGAAACTAAGACCTCGGATTGCAGAAATACAAATATGCACAGCTTCATTCTGGCTTGCCTAGAGTTTCAACCATAGGGATTTCTTCCTAATATGCAACAAGCAACGATCCACAAATTTCGTTCAGTAAGCACACGGCGGCAGAGTGTTGTCAAAACAGAGGACTCTGCTCACAGAGTCTTCAGCTCCGATTACGACATCGTGGCTCCCGCCCAACCGGTCCCTCAACACTCGGTAGCCTCTGTATCGGCTGCCGGTCTTCGGAGTGTCGACGAAGTCGGCCAGTTTGGAGAAGATTCTGATGAGACGATTCCTGCATCTCGAAGCCTTCCCGGTGATGGCGGAGAGGAGGGCGGTTGACCAAGAAGCGGGAGAAGCATCGTAGTTGGTGGCATTGCCTCCTTCGCCGCTTCTTTTCCGGGTGTGGAGGTGGCGCCGCCGCTGGTGGCAGCGGAGGTGTCTGATGGATTTGGCCGGGGATCTTTTGCAATTCTTGCGAACCATTCAAGTTGTTTTTCTTTCTGTTGTTTGGCTATTTGTAGTTTGTTATTGATCTTTCTCAAGTCAGGATAAGGGGGGAAATACAGGGGAAGTTTGGGAAGATTGAGAACAGAGGAGATGAGATTGAGAGATCAGAGACGGGATGAGGAAGATGAAGTTTTTTAGAACTCAGTTTTGGCGCAACGGTCGTTTGGTATTTTAGGTTCAGCGGGCGATGCCGCCTGGGTTCCGGCGTTGACTAGCCGTTGGGGGATACTGGATTAACGAGTTGCAGTCTTTCTTGCTTCTCTCTGCTTTTTTCCTTCTCTTTACTATTAACTCTGTTTTGGATTTTGGTAGTTGCAAAACAAGCCCTGAGCGTGATTTTCCCTATCTCCATTGAGGACTTGATCATGCATCATGATTCATGGTAGAGCTTAATGAATGACAACATATACATCCAACAAAGCGAAATGAGAAATTTCACCTTCGCTTGGGAAGATTGCTTGGACTAGAATTGTGTGCTTCAGGAGTAGATACATCTCTCAGCCTGGGTCTAGGAAGGATTACAGGCCTGCAACATATTACAGCAACCAGCAACTCCATCATAAAGGATACGAGAGCAATCCACACGAAAATCGTCCTCTTCCAACCCCATACGATCCTTCTGAAGAAAGGGAGTTGAGACTCCAGCATCAGGGAGGCATTGTAGAGCTCAGGTATGCCACCCCCAGGATTCAATTCGGCTCGTTGTTCAATCATTACCCTAAGGCAGGAAGTCGGCACATCACCACCTGTTAAGCCTCTTATCCTCAACCTCAGCGTTTGGGATTCTGATATGTAACCCGCAACAAGAGGCACGACCTTGAACATGGTTAGAAGGATTCGGATCGGCTCGCTTTTGAATTTCAGCATGCACGGATGGCTTTTGCTCGCCAGGACACTGCCATCAGCTGAGAGGAACTCCACCCGTACCTTCAATATTTCATATGGCGAACTTATCAACCAAAGCACTCAATCTGAACATACATTACCAACTTCTCAATAAAGCCTATCCATTCAGTTTAACTACTTGGCACCAGTTGGTCTCTAGTTGATCAAATACACCAACTAATAACATCGAAAATGGGGAAGATGGAATCAATTTGGCTTCACTGATCTTGGCGATACCAACAGTTTGACATAATGCACACACAGAGTAAACCTATTTGCCAATTCTGCAAAACTTGCTCTACTTCTCATAGATCCTACTACCACTTGGTCCTGAGATTTCTACCGAATGAACCCCCTAACCGGCACTACTCATAGCTTTCATCCAACATTGCGGGTTTTCTATGATCACCATGGAAGCAAAAGATTGTTCCTATATCAACTAACATATGTAAAAGCAACCAACCACAAGAATTTTTAGCTCTTGACAGACTATACAGCAGGAAAGCAAGTGTTACCTGAAACATCCCGAGATTTCTGTTATACCCTGATTCAGGCAAAGTCATCAAAATTGTAGCTTGCACTTTATGCTTGGGAGGAATGACTCTCTGCCTGAAACTCCTGATCTCCTCAACCCCATCTTTACAGCCAACACCAGGACAAGAGATCATAGGAACAAAAGCCACCGGTTTGCTCTGCGTGTAATCGAAATTCAATTCCTCCCTCAATTGCAATGGCTCTTCCACTAGAAACCTCATCATCAAGCTGCTAACCATAATTGCCATGACCAGTAACCCACACAAGATGATACAAACATAAACACAAAGAAGCAACCCCCACCCAACACCCAGCAAGAGCTTCCATTTCGTCTTGTGCTCGTTCAACCAGTGATTCACCCACGAGCTCAAAGACCCAACAGTTGAGCTCCACAGGTGAAACCCCCGCTGCAACAAGAACGCATTGCCACGCCTTGTAACCCCAAATGGATCGGTGACAAACATATAGGAGCAATAGAGAGACCATAAAGGGAAAGAAACGAAATTGAGGATCAAATTGAGTTGGAATCCAAGTGCTTTAATCACCAATACCGCTATCAATTCGAGCAGATTGGAAGACCCAACATTTTGAGATGGAGACGATTCCAATTCATCTGGACCCGTCGAAGACTCAACTATCTCCGGATCGCTCCCGATTTCAATCAAATCGGGGTAAAAGGCCTTCGCTTTCTCTTCCGATGATACCGCGTTCGCGTTGTCACGCTGGGTAACGGAGGAGGCGATTGTAGAGGCTTCCTCCTCATCGGAGCGGTTGGATTCGTCATCGGCGGCGATTCCGCGACAAGGGACCGGCCGACGGCGAAGGCTAGTACCGGGAGAGGAGACCTCGAGGGGAAGTTCAGAGATTGTGGTGTTGGAGGTCGATTGATCGGATAGGTCGGTACAAGTGAAGCAATCGTCTAAGGGGAAATCGTCGAAGGCTTCGAGGAAGCAACCGTCGTCCGGCGGCGAGCGGTGGTTTGTGTTCTCCGTTGATTCCATTTACGTGGCTTTACGCAATTTGGGGATGGACAAATTTGGGCCAATTGAGACCGGACAACGTTTGGTTTTGGTTGGGTTCGGAGTCCGGCGTCGTCAAGTTAAGTCCACGTGGTTAGCGTGTGACCTGGCTAAATATACGTATATCATGTTTTTTTATTATTAGATTACACGTATAATCTAGGGGAAAAAATATTAAAGGGGAATGGATCAGGTCAGTAACTTTATGATGAGTAACTATGAGTAACCCGCCCACATCAGCATGACATCAGCATCTTCTCTCTCCTGGGAAGCTTTTAATTTTCCCCTCCTTAATCTTTGACAGACGATTTCTCACTCGTTTTAAGTCGAAATTTAATTTTTTTTGCACAGTTAGATCAGATTAATTGTGCTCTTCAAAATGATATCCACTTTGATATATTTTTCGAACAAAAAAAATTGAGTCATTTTATACCAGTTTATACCATATGGTATTGACTGGTATTGAAATAAGAGCATACCTATGGTTTGAAAAGCGTACCATGGTGGTATGGCACAAACCAAGACTGTAGGATGATTGAATACATGATAGTAGAAGTATATTAATTGTCATTTACGACTTTTAACATTGTATACCATAAAATACCTTAAAATACCACCCCGTACCAGGGTGGTATTGTATGGTATTGTGTGGTATTTTTTGGTCTTGTAATTTGTTCACCCAGAAATTTGTAGATCAAATAGATCATGATGAACTCGTCCCCGCTGTGCAAACGTTTTCAAAAACGAATGAAAAACGAAGAAAATACCATATGGTATGCAGTTGGTACCGAAAGGCCAGAATTTTTTTTCCTCAAAAAATATTGAAAATTGATCTCATTTTGTAGAGCACGATGAACTCGTTCCATCTGTGCAAAAAAAAATTAAAAAATCCGAGTTAAAACGAAAAAGATATGAGTCAATTAAGAAAACTAGTGAAAATAAAAATGGTCTTTAATTCTCCATCCTTAGATCTGGATTTTCTAAATGAAGGGTCCAGATTTGGTTATTGATGGGTGCATAACCATGGCACCCTATCTTGAGCCATATTAAAGAGTCAATATAATGTCCTAAATCAAAACACAAAATCAAATCTTACTAAATATGGGAATATAATGAAATGAAATTCTTTTGCCATCAAATGGGCAGCGTTGTTGTTATCGCGATCAGTGCAGCGGATAATAAATACTTGAAAATTCTCTCGAAGAACCGTTATGTAAATAACTCTCTCACACTCGTCGAAAACTTTGTCTAGAACATCCTTTACATCACCAATAAACATCATTCTCGTTAGTCCGTGTATCACATTCACATACCTAAGAACATAGTCTCTCGCGCAACACCAACATATGCACTAGGAAAGGCTCCACAACCCCATCAAACAAGCGGCCTTCCGCCGTCATGGTCATTCCATAACAATCCAGTAATTCTCATCCCCCAGTCATGTGAGATCAGGTCGAACAACCTCCACTCGCGTTAACGCATGATTCACTCCCTCTCCAGACTCTTTCTTTTTTTGTTCTAATGCAATCATCACCATTATAAAAAAAAAACCTTATGTAATGATTCAATGAATTTTTATATGCACATATAATTTTAGAGTACGGATATATTATAATTGGTGCCTAACTTTTTCACATACTACTAGACATATAAAACTCTTTACATATTAACATCAGGACATACCTATCCATTAGTTTATTAACCATACTCGCTAAACTTGTAAGTGCGCCCATCAATTTTCACAGAATCACATATGCTCAAAAGTGTACATGACCAAATACCTACCTATAACTCACAAACGGTTCCCAACATAAATCCTACTATAGCTATAAAAAAAACGACGGAATACAATTTATTAGTCAATCCTTTTCAAAATTTTCTTTTAACGAAAGACCTCACTAGAAGTTGTTGAATTCTGACAAAGAAGTTTTGTTCTTCGGTCATTTTGTAAGATATAATGTTCTGCCCACCACCATATTAATCCCTTTCTGACACTCGGGTGCTCTCTCTGCATCTGCAACGGAAGCAATCAACCGATCAAAATCCTACCGTCTAAAATCAAAATGGACGGCGCCGCCGCCGCCGCTGACGAGAAGAAGAAGCACGCCTACTCCCTGTGGGGCGTCCCGCCGAAAGACGTCAGGATCCGGCTCAAGAAGCTCACAGACGGCCTCCGATCCGAATTCGGCGGCCCGGAATTCCAGCCCCACGTCACCGTCGTCGGAGCCGTACGCTTGACGGAGCAGGACGCAATCAGCAGGTTCAACTCTGCTTGCGAGGGGCTCAAGCCGTACGCCGCCGCCGTCGATCGCGTCGCCCTGCGTGTGCTCCTCCTCCGTCCCACCGCCGAGGTCGATCGGATCTCTGTTCCTGTCCATTTTTTTTCCCGACGATTCCGTTTGAATTGGGTTGTGAATTTGTAATCAATTTGCCTCGTCAGGTCGTGGAAGCTGGCTCACACTGCGGTGGACATTTTGGGTACAAGAGATCCACTCGTAAGTGATCTCCCTCCTTCTTCCGCTTTTCCTTCGACGCCATAGAAACTCTGTAACATGAATCGTGTTCCTGCTACACGGAGAGGAAATCACAGAAAAGTATGGTGGGATTGCGAATGAAATTGCAAAGAAATGGTAGTTTGAATTGTTGCAATTGCAAGAAATGATATTCCGTAGTAGAGTCTAGTTTGGTCAAGTGGTCGCGTGCGTTTGAATCTCTGTTGTACTCAATATAATTGTAGCTTGAATGATTGAGTCGGACTAGTTTCTAACATGATATTATATAGCTGATTTGGTTAAGGGGTTGTCATATATGTTCGAATCTCTCCAACCCCCTATATAAGCGCTGCTGATTTGGTATAAGCGCTGATTGGTTCCTGATATAGTATAAGCGCTGATTTGATCAAATGGTTGTATGCTCAAAAGTCGAATTTCTGTAACCCTCAATACGAGTTATTGGAGCTAACTCTGGTCGGCGTTGTGTGCAATGTTGCTGCAGCTTATATGCCGCATCTCAGCCTTTTGTACGGAGATCTGAGCGACGAAGAGAAGGAGAAGGTTGAAGAGAAAGCCATGGAACTAGATGACAGCATCAGCAGCCTGAGCTTCGAGATCAGCAGCCTGGAGCTGTGGAAGACGGACACTGAAGACAAGTACTCTCTCAAATCTTGGGAGAAGACCTCAGAGTTCAACCTTTCTTCCAACTAGACTATATATAGCAAACTCTTGTGAATTACGATCACCTTGAATTGCTTCAAGGTTTGAGCCTAGAGTGAGTTCCAGTATTTCAGCGGTGGTTTACCCTGTATTGCTATGTTACTGTGTGTTTGTAATAGACGAAAGATGAAATCTGTTGATCCCTAATTTGGAAGTGTACATATGCTCATACAACTTTGTGTTGTGTACAAAATGGTAACATAAATTTCATTTTGTATGATTTGGTAACACAAATTTCGACGTGTAACAAATTAGTCGTTTTTGTTCATTTCCATTCAAAATTCCGTTAACCTCGTCAAGATAGCCGTCCATGTATCCAAAAAATTCCACTTCACCATACAAACTAACCAAACTAAACTAACCACAGAGTCCACCCGAGTCAAATTTATATTACATTCTTATCTTTTGGCAATTTTGTTACATGATGAAGTGACCAATAACCTTTTCATTTTGTAACGAAATAGTTAAACTTCTTTTCATAATGTAACAAAATGCTCATAAAAAATAGTAAAAATAAGTATGCAATATCAGCTTGGCTTGGGAGGGTGGGCTAGTTCGGTTGGTTAGTTTGGATGGTGAAGTAAATTTTTTTTGTTGATTTTGTTTATGTGGACTGTTGACTGGACGAGTTTGACAAAAAATTGAATGGAGATAGGCGAAAATGACAATCTCATTCCACGTCCAAATATGTGTTACTAAATCCCGCAAAAATTAAAAACTTTTACGATCGTTTTGTACAACCTCCAAAATTTTATAGCATTTTATGTTAATTACCCATTAAAGCACACTACTATTGAGAGTCTTACAATAATTGAGTCGCTTACCCACAAAAAGTGAATCGTTAGACTGTTAGACTAGTGTATTTTTCTATGATATTTTTTACAATTAAATTAAGTAATCTATTGCTAGTAATTGTACCTCCTACCAAGTTATAAACTTATAATGCATAAACATTAAACAAAACAAAAAATAACTCGACCATACTTTACTTTTGGCTTCCCCCAATGTGTACGATTTTGTTTACTATAATTGATTGTTAATATTTGATATGGAATTTCGGATAACAAGTACGATGAAATGTTTCATGATCTCGAGAGTTATCCACCTCAACCATTGGTTCCTTCATTTTCACTAAAACAGAGAAGCTTCAAATTGGACAAGGCAAAAATCATAAGCAGATGACGAATCTGCCCTCACCAACGGCTGATCTCAACCTTCTCCGGGGATCTCTCATTTCGCCGGCAGGCTCACCTGTTTTTCCCAACAAACACTCAGTCACTCATCCTTACTCCGGTCTCCGGCCACCTGATTTCTGTCCCAATCCGTCAATTTATATCATTCTAGAGACATTAATAAAAAAAAAAAAGAGTAATTATTACTACAGACAGAAAAGGCAAACATTCTAGTAATTCACGCAACCCAAGCGCCGCGCCCTGGAACCAGGAAACTCCGCCGTGTTGACCGACCAACTGAGTGCGACGTCGTTTCGGTCCGCCATCTTCAACAACCGCGCGCTCTGCCAGCCACCACCCAACAAAAATTAACTTCCAGCTTGCTTTCATTCACGCTCCAGCTCACTTCTGCACAAGACGCGTGTGCCACACTTCCTCTCCGCATTCCTGGCGTTTTCCAACGTTCCCCGCCCTTGCTTGCTGCCACTGAGATAGATAGACAGACGTTGTTGAGAATCAAATTCGCCCTGTCCCATAGATCTCTCCTCTCAACCCTAAATCTCTTCGCCCCCACAATCCCCAATTATACATCTTTTGGGGTTTTGGGTTGATCGACCCCGACTTTAATTTGACCAATTACGGGTTTTTTTGAAGCGAATTAGCTTAGCTCCATCTGCCGCCGTCATCATCCGTCGTTGGTGGAACTTGGGAATCAAGAAAAGAACCCAACGCTCACTCTGTTTCCTTGGGGGCGAAAGTTGGGGAAATGATCTGGTGAAATCTGGTGCGGAGAAATCGAGTGTGGAAGCTTTCCCCCCACCAAAAAGGGAGAATATTTAGGGCCTAGCTGGGGGTCATTCACATTGTAGTAGAGAAGGGTTTTCTGTATCTTTGTTGAACTTTCAAGTTCTTTGGAGGGTTTTTGGGATGGAAGGTAAGAATCCGGTGAGGTTTACTCTCCTAAAGCAGTCGTCTTTAGCGCCGGAAGGGGAAAGGGATGGTTCCGGTGGGTTCGAGGAAGCTCTGGAGGGCATTGATCCAGGTGTTCGATTAATGTACGCAGCGAATGAAGGCAATCTTGATGGTATCCAGGAGGTATTGGATTCGGGCGTTGATGTCAATTTCAGGGACATTGATGACCGGACGGCGCTTCACATTGCATCCTGCCAAGGTTTGACTGACGTCGCTGCGTTCTTGCTGGACAAAGGGGCCACAGTTGACCCCAAAGATAGATGGGGGAGCACGGTAATTCTTACAATGAGTTTGGTTTTGCCTTCTCTTTGGATGGAATTGAATCTTCGTTGCTTCCATGCCAAAAATGGTGCAGCTTTATTAGAAGTGGCAATGCAATCTTATGTTTGATTTAACAGCCCCTTGCAGATGCCATATATTACAAAAACAATGACGTGATTAAGCTCTTGGAGAAGCGCGGTGCCAAGCCTCTGGTATGCTTGGCTTTCTGTGTGTTTGTCAAATGGGAATCAGTGTTGTGTGAATTGGTCGATTTGATGCGTGTCTTGCTAATGCTATATGGGATTCTTTCATTTAGATGGCCCCAATGCATGTCAACCATGCTCGTGAAGTCCCGGAGTATGAGATCAATTCCACTGAGCTTGATCTCACTAACAGTGTGCAGATAACTAAGGTAGTGTTTATTGTAACTTTTCTGGAACTGGAAAGAATTCTCTTCCATTTTGTCATGTGCAATTCCTTTGTGGACGTTTTTTGGAGTTCACATTTCCGGTCTATCTATGTTGCTGTTTGAATATTTAGCTTAGCTGGAGTTTTCAGATATTACAATTTACAACCTTCCCATTTTGGTTCCTACGTTGAAGAGTTGCATCCTGTCTCTATATCAGTGCTCAAAACTTCAAGTTGTAGCTGGATAGGGATATATAATAAATTGGTGATACCAGAAGGAAAAAAAGGATTGAACATTGGTTGAGGGGAACAAAGGAAAGAGAATGGGCGGCCATTTGAGAGTAGAATATAGTAATTTGTTTTTGTATGTTGCATTGAAGCATCAACCTGTGTGGGTCTAAATGAGCCATCTATACAGAGCAGTGCTATTGTATATGATCTCCTTAAAGTTATGACGTACTAGCAGTGAACAAACTTAGAGAGGAGCTGTAAACTTCGCAATAGAGAGATTTGATTGATAATTTTTTGGGCATTGTGCAGGGAACTTATTGCATAGCATCATGGCGTGGGATAGAAGTTGCTGTTAAAATGCTCGGGGAGGAAGTCCTTTCAGATGAGGATAAAGTGTGGGTTATCATGACCTACAGCCTTTTGTCCTACTTGTGTAGTCCTGTGACTTTTCATCCTTCTTAAAAAGCTATTTGTTTTTACAGAAGAGCATTCAGAGATGAGCTAGATTTGCTTCAGAAGATAAGACACCCGAATGTGGTTCAATTTCTGGGTGCTGTTACTCAAAGTAGCCCGATGATGATTGTGACAGAATACTTACCAAAGGTTTTTCTTCCATTTCTTGAGTCATTGTTTCAGTGTAGCGCTACCCTCTGTATATTACCCCAGGATAATAGTACTCGTGCAGATATGGATGTTTAGTTGTTTTCATATGAATGTTAGTTTCTTTCCCATTGATGTTGTTAACTCTCATTTCTCAATTTTGCTTTTGGTGTTTCTCTTAGTGATTACTTTTGTCTCCACAATGTTGCTTTTTTTTCCCCGTACTCGATGTCCTTAATGCATCCTTGATGTCAGAGATGAACTTTTCCTTTTATGTGCAACTGAAGTGGATATTCACAGAGGATCTTAGTTATCAAAACAGTCTCAAAGCTCTTGATTGGTGTTCTTATGTACTTTTTCGTGAAGAGACACCTTAGAAGTGTCCATGACTAAGTGGGAAGTGATCTGGTAAATTGCTTTTGGCCAATGTGCACTTGTTTATTGATGTTTCAGGGAGATCTTCGCGAGTACCTTAAACGAAAAGGCCCACTAAGACCAGCAAACGCTGTGAGATTTGCTCTTGATATTGCAAGGTCAGTTGCTAACTTCCATCATGATCCAATGCATGATGGACAGTAGTCACCAGTGTCCAATATAGACTTCAACAATTCTGGTTTTTCAATTGCTACTGCAAATATTGTTTCAGGGTATAATATTGACATAAATCCATTTATCGTAGGGGTATGAATTATCTACACGAGACCAGGCCAGAACCGATAATTCACCTGGACCTTGAGCCTTCGTAAGTTTCTTCACTTGGACTTCTATTTACCAAACATATTAGATGTTGCTATACTGATACAGCAGTTTAGTCTTGTGTAAAATTCATTAGCTTCCTCAATTTTCTGAATCTGCCAGCACCTTTTTCATGTTGCTTATGAGCAAGATAACAGAAATATATTGCGGGATGACTCAGGACATCTCAAAGTTGCAGACTTTGGTGTTAGCAAGTTGCTCACGGTGAAAGAAAAGAAGCCTCTAACTTGCCAGGATACTTCTTGTAAGTGCCTGCCTAATGTTGCTACATCTGATGGCTTAAGACAGGAGTAGCAATATTCAGTCCTCTTCACTGAAAATTCTTGATTGGTAGCCATAGTCACGAAAGGATGTATATTTTCATTGACAGGTCGTTATATGGCCCCAGAGGTTTTCAGAAATGAAGAATATGATACCAAAGTGGATGTCTTTTCCTTTGCATTAATACTACAAGAGGCAAGTACTCGTCATGACTTAATGTTAGGACTGGTGTCTGTACTTCTTTGAGGATCTCTGCTTAGATATGTTGAGTGTAAAGTGTATCTGACTCCTATACTTCAACGATTTTCATTTTTATCAACAATGTTTGATGTGCCGTATGTTACAGATGATTGAAGGCTATCCACCATTTTATAACAAGGAAGATCCTGATGTTCTTAAAGCATATGCTGGAACTGAGCGTCCTCCTTTTAAGGCTCCACCAAAGTATTATGCGCATGGGATTAAAGAGTATGTTTCAATGTGATTCAGATTTTCTATTTTACTTGACATAATGTGATCCAGAATGTGCAACATGAGTTCTTAGGTCCCTATGAACATCACCCTCAAACATACTCTTTGGAAGATTTTCTTATTTCTTTGTGCGTACATGCATTGGGATCTGGGACTTTCTAGTATTATCAGCATCGAATAGATCACGTCAAGTACCTGCAGACCCTGGTTCTTCTAACCAATTAATGAACTTTCAAAGTTAATATAATATACAAGCGACCTACGATGTGTTTATCCTGATTGAATGAAAGTCAATTTACTGGAGACTTATTGTTGTCTTCTGGCCTACAGATTGATTGAGGAGTGCTGGCATGAAAATCCAGCCAAACGACCAACCTTCAGGGAAATACTGACAAGACTGGAGTCTATTTACAACAGAATTGGTTACAAGAGGGGTTGGAAGGTTGGTCTCTCTCTCTCTTCAAGTCAACGTCAATCTTTGTGTTCTCTACCATGCTTTGCTTGAAGTATATACCGGTAACAACTGCAATGATGAGAATTGGTAACCACCTTATGCTGTTTGTGTTTATTGCTGAATACCAAATTTGCATAATCTTTAGAGACGTTTACCTTATTTTCTACATGGGAGAGCTAATCTCCATACATGACCATTTCATCCCATTAATGAGTCCGCCCTACCAATGTCACTGACATATGATATTGATTTCTGGTAAATGATGAGTGTCGTACATGAAAGTAAAGAGATACCAGACATAGTCGTATGCTGATCGTGTTTCTATTACGAGCTTTGGTTAAGAGAGATTGTTCATCCACTTTTGTCCTGAATCCTGATAGACAATACTGCAGGAGGACTAATACATTCTCTCTCATACGAAACCTGTACAGGTTAGACCGTTAAAATGTTTCCCGAATTTGGAGGCCTTATTGAGGAAAGACCAAAGTCTAAGTGGGCGCGGTGGATCTTCACGTTCAACCAGCCGTGCGTGAATTGAAACTTTGTTCCAAGGGTTCACCTTTCATGTTTGCAGACTCCAATTTTTTCCTGGTTGTCAGAGATTCCTCTTTATTGGTTTAGAGTAGAGGATTTCTATGTTTTTTCCCCTGGTGTGTAATCCGAAATTGATACATTCTCAGGCAGTAGACACATTATTCTCGAACTCACTCTTCATTGAACATGATCTATGGCATATAAGAATCCTACCTTCATGAGTTCAATCTCTCTCGTAATCTTTTGCACCTTATCTTACTCATTTATCGCGTGGTGGATAATAGACATGAGCTGATCTGGTTACAGATATGGGGTTGTTGCTGATAGCTCTCTATTTGCAAAAGGTCAGCAACTGATGCTGATGATCTAACTACAGAGATTAGCCTGGTGTTCCTGGAGATCAGCCTTTCCCTATTCCTGTTATTTTTGGTTTGCATCTCATATCCTTGAGGGTTATACATACATAAATTGGGGAAAGAGTGCATGTGTGATGTTGCCCAATGTGAAAAGAGGATACAGAAGTTGTCACTTATATCTAAATAAATATGTGTACATGTGGTGGCCTTGTAGCTGCAGGGTGGGAGGAAAAAGATAGAAACACCAGAGAGAGCTCCTATAACTTTCGATGGGGGAAAGTGACAATTCATCATGTTATGGATTTCACATGAGACTGACTGACAACCCCACTCACCATACTGGTGCTGTAATTCTGCTGTTGCTTGCCAATGAAATTGTGAAGAATGCAGATGTGAATAGATTTAGCAATTACAGTGATGTGGGTTAGACATGGCTGTTGATGATGATGAGTGTTCTTCCTTTTTCTTTTCTTCATCTTTTGTCCAGTTCTCAAAGAAGATGGTGACTAGTCCCAGTTCCATTTAGTGGGGGCAATAGCTTGAAGAAACTGTGCTAGGATTTGATTTATTCTTAACATTCTACTGAGTGGATGCATTTTAAACACTCTACCCCTGCAAATTTGAGCTCAAATCTCCCGATTTCATTTGGCGGGTAAGCGTTTTTTTTTACATCTTTAAGCTTTGAGATTGTGTACTAGTTACCGTTAACAGAGGAAAAAGCTACTTTCTTCTCCTGTAGAACTCAGGTCCAGCAGCAAACCATGGTGTACTGTAAAAGAGCAGTATAAAGAGAGAAAAGAAAACCATATTTACAGAAAGGGTTTTCTTTTACTCTGCTTTGCTGTAGTGGCTGTATTGACAGCTCTACTGCACCATACTCCCACACAAACACAAGGTCCATTTATGGTATTGTTGTGACTTGGTGACAAAATAATGGCTCCCAAGTTTCACCATTTAGGGTTGGAACCCTCCCCAACCCCCATAACCTCTAATGGGTCGTTGCCCCTTGTCATGAAAACCAGAAACATCATTATTTCGACTTTTTTAGAGAGAAAAAGAGAGAGGGGCAATGATCAACCACTATAGATTGATTCATGGTGCAAGCTGGAAAAGCAGTAACTTTCCAGGACAAAGTTCCTACCCGTATATGCCATTTCCTCCCCAAGAAAGGAAGCTCTAAATCTGGAAATGGGAAACAGGAAACTCCTGTTGTCCTGTAGATTGATAGAAAGAGAGCTACTTTGTGAGGAAATAGCAGTGCAGGAAATAAAAGCATCAGTTAGAAGTGGGAAGAGAAAGACTCCTAGTCGTTGTTAATCAGCGGAATCAAAGCATGTTCAAGAGCTGCAACTTGTCATTCTAGATCTGGAAATTGCAGTCAGGTTTGTAGCAACTTCCACCATTAACAGAGATCAACTGTCAGCCTTTCCCAGAACAGTATAAGATCAGCTATCGAATTTTGGCTTTAAGTTCACTGCTGGCTCCAAAGATGAAGGAAACTTAATCATAGAGAATAGGGAGATGGGCAGGCAGTTTCTGGTTTCTTTTCATTGATAAATCATCACCACCATTATCTAAAGAGATGCTATCATATTCATTCATTGTTGCTGGGAAGGTAAAAATAAAAAGAAGCATGTGATAGCCAGGGGAGAGAAGAACAAACAGCTTCAAGAAATTTAATATCCATGGGCCAATGCATGATTTTGATGATCAAGTAGGGTATGGCGATGACCAGGACAAATTCATTGCCTCGTACCGTTAATTACTTTTTTTTTTTTTGGAAAACAAGTGAGAAAAGTCTAATCTGTACTACCGGTCGAATGAGATTTCATGATTAAGTTTTTTGCCTTTACTTACGAGGTATAGATTTGACCACAACTACACAATTACTTGTCTAATCATTATCGAAGGCAACATTTTTTCGTCACAAATAATGATGGCGCCAAGTTATAATGGCATGACAATGGACTTTTATGTATTTAGAGGAAGACTTTTAGTACGTACTTGTATAAGTTATCTGAAGTAGCGTTTACAAAGAATGAAGTTACTTATGGTGTTGTTCTTTTTTACTTGTAACATGACAATAAATTTTCTTTCACAGGAGACCCTTACTCATATTGGATTATTTTTAAAACAAGCCACGTTCACGTTCACGCTCTTGCTCTCGCACCCGCTCCACGAACTTGTTACCTAACATTGCACCCTTGTGATTAAGACCATGATGTGATGATAACCTTCCATGCCTACAAGTGCAGAAAATGGAGCTGGGGAAGCCATCCAGCCAAAAAGTTGGGTGCCAGTTTGGCTTCAGAAAGTGACTTTGTTTGTTGTAATTGTGTGGTGGTGGGTTTTGGTCATTTATTAGATTAGGTGTTGCATTCAAGTCCCAACTTTCATTGCCTGCCTTTCAGCATCATTGCATTTCAAGGTCCCCCTCCCCTCCCCTCCTCTTTAGGGTTTGACAAAGATCATAGTTAATCACTAATGCCATAAATTAATTGTTACTGTTCACCAATGGAAGAAAATTGTGTGTGCTGATGATTAAGTGTGAAAGACTAGTGAACCATCAAGGATGACTGGAGTAAGTATCAAAACATGAGGATGTGACACAATGTGCTTTATGATTAGAGAATTATGACGAGAAATTTTTCAGGGTGACCATTAGAACCACACAATACCGAATCGTGGGCTTCAATAATGGGATGTTTGTATGTTGAATTTTGGTGCGTGAATTAAGTCTAAATCCCACAACACGTGATAATTGAGTGAAGGAACCAGTTTGATTGCACAAAAGTAACGTGGAAATACAATCGCGATAATTTGTGTCAAATTCCATAGACGTGGGAATTGTAATTACGACACCCACCTCCATGTTCTCACATTCAAACATTTTTCTTTTTTCTCTCCAAATTCTATCCCTCTTCTTCCTTTTCATAATTTCCCTCTTTCATCTTAAATGGAAGGGGTAAAATGATATTTTAATCATATTGCACCATCTATTTCCACATACTTAAATCCATCCCAAACATGGAATTTTAGTCAATTTTCAATTGGCAGTTCCAAGCATGACATGAGAATTAGGTCCAATTCCCACGTTTCCATATTTTTACGGGCAAACAATCTATAAGTTTGTTGAAAATTCATACAACCAGAGTAATTTCATATACATGTGTGATCGAGTCCTGTCATATGATTTTGGATTTGTCACAGTACACATGTAAGTTTTAGTAATAAAATTATAATCACCCATATGTGTTCATGCAAGGGATCAAACTCACAATGTTGAGATGACATAGGGGTTTTGCCACTGCATCAAAATGAAATTTCTAATCAAAATAATTTATATTTATAAAAAGAAGACGCACTAGCTAGTTTCAACTCCGAATACGTATTTACCGTCAGTAATTATTATTTATGATCAAACGTGTTGGTGGGTTAAGACCTCAAATCTTCATAGACTTTGCTCAATCTCCTCTCCTGTCATTTTCTCCCCCAGTTTTCACAATCAAAATTCGTTAATTACACCTCTTATTAATTAGCTGCAACACAAGACTTCCACAGGGACACGTACGTTCTCTCTTCGAGTCTTTTCCCCACCTAATTCCCTCTTTGTGGTGGCCGTACGTTTTGGAAGGGAAACCCCCTGTTTTTGGCTAAACATTTCGACGTTGAAAATCCGAATTTTCAACTGGGTTTGAGTCTGTTGTGGTGAAAAGATCCCAAGCCCTTAGACAAAACAAAAGCCCTAATGGTAATAAGGCTTTGGGGAAAACAGGTTGATAATGATTTGTGCGGAGAGGGTTGGATTGTACTCGTCAGTCATCATCTCACATCAATAACAACATCATCGATTGTTTCTCACGACAAATCATTATGAAGAAGATAGGCAAATTCATCACTCTTATCCATCCATGTACCACATTTGCACATGGGAACAACCCAATAGAGAAGTGAACCACCCAACGTCTTCTTTTTTTCTAAAGGATAAGAGTGTTATTATACCGTACAAGATTCATTATTGAACATCTTCTAACAACTCGAGTTATTGAGATCAACATGTTATTGACATGGTATCAAAGCCTTATGTAATCGAGATGTCTTCTGTTCGAACACTAGTAACCTTCATTTGTAAGCACATAGTGTCTGATGCTTGCGCAAAACTTCATGCAAGCTTATATGAGTGACATTCGTTTCAGGAGGCGTGTTAGTATGCGATATAACATATATTATTGAACCTTTCCCAAAAAACTCGAGTTATTGGGCTCAAATGGTTCTTGAAAATGTGAACTTGGGATATATATGTCTAATGCTACCTTATCTGATGAATATCGACAACTCATGAGAGCAAGCGGTTCAGATTTGCAAACTCTACGAGTAGCCGTAAATATATAATTTTTATTCCTTGTTATAAATAAAATTGATCACTCAATAAGTTTGAATTTTGCTACCAATGATCATGTTTTTTTTTTTTGCTGTTAGTAGACACTAGACAGACAAATTCATCATTTCTAACTCCGCCACAGAAAAAATGACCGCATAACCTAAACTCACCAACTCGTTTGTTGGACCTATCATATGAGAAATGTGAGTGGATATGTACTGTAGTGATGAATAGGGGTGAACAAAATGACCCGACACCCGACCCAAATTGATCCAACCCGAAATTCGATCAAAGATGAGCCATATGTGCAAATGTGCGTCTTGAAATTGAGGCTCGTTAATTTTTTTGGCTGGTTACCAATTTGGGCCTCTGAGATCCAAACCAACCCGAAAATGCTAGTAACCATGTAATCTACCCACAGATTTCAAGATTACATGATATATGAGATTCCACTGTTTTTCTTGTTTTATTTTTGGACAGATATCATGATTTTGGTGCACCATATAATTCTAGAATTCATGTGACCATGATATCTCAAATTCAAATTATGTGGGTTCTACCATGAACTCATGCAAGCCAAACAATGCATTCTAATATTACACAAGTTCTCACAACTCAACCTACAATATACATGAATTCTTCAAATACATGAATTCTACATTACGTGCTTACCAAACGACCCCTAAAAGTTACCTATGAATACCAATAGGCAATCGTCAACCTTGTCTCCAGAATCATGCCGATCCGTACTTAACCTGACCCAATCGACATTAAACTGATAGGGTTACGATTTTAATGTGCGAGTTTAGGTTATGTATCCTTGAAACCGATATGCAAATGTCGGGTAACTATATTACCACCAAACCGACCCACCTGACCTATGTACATTCCTAATGATGAGTGGATGGACCAATCGGATGGGATCTGTGCATGGAGGGACAAAGTTACGGCATGTAAAACTGTAAAGTAGTGGCCATGATCAGTGTTTTTCCCAAGGGCTGAAAGAGATGGAGGCGCATTTTGGGATAACATGTTGGAAGGGATTTTTTGGCCAAACGGATCGTTCTTTGCGAAATGCAGCTAAGTATGAAAAGGGTCGCCGTCCATTGTGGTCCTCGATCTCCATCGTTCTGGATATAAAATAAAGACTTTACTGTTATCTAACCCAGCCAAACTCTGTATATGTAGTTATGTACACAAGTGCTTGCAGAAGCAGAGCACTGTTGTTCGAGAATCGATTTGCTCATTAAATCGAGAGGGGAAAGTTGATGGGCTGAAACTGCAAGGAAGGAAACAAAATGTGGGAGGCAATTCAATTTACATGCAGTTGGCTATTGAGTAGAGATGACAATGGGACGGGTTAACACAATTCACTGGGTGCACTCATTAAAAAATACGACAAAATATCTTTTGGTTTTAAAAGTGAAAACTCAACTCAACGATTACTGACGGGTTCACGAACATAATCATATATTATGCTTCTGAACACCCACATCGTAATGTTATCGATTGAAAGTTTACATGAAAAAAATATATCTCCATAAAGACTACTTACATTCATGAATATTATCCATATTGTTAGGTTTATATTGCGATAAAAACTAATAACATTCATAAATTATTCATGTTATTTTGGTTAGATAAAAAATCGCTTCGTTTTCTTTTGAAGGGTACGGATCGAGTTGAAAGCGGGTTGGACTTTGACAAAATCTAAACCCGACCCAACTCATCAATTTAAAAAACAGGTAACACTTGTACCCGATTCAAAATTCATTAATACTAGATTTTACTCACTTTGATCATATTGGATACCCGTAGGTAGGGACGGTCATTTGAACCCGCCCCGTCAAGTATTACCCGAACTAACCCGCGATGGGGCAGGTATTACCGCAGTAGCGATGGGTGCATGGGGCATGTGTATCAACTTCCGACCCGTCCTGCCCCGCCCCGTTCTTGGCCCCTTCCAGGTCAATTTCTCACGTCATCCCTTCATAATCTCCTATTTTAACCTTTCTTCAACTAGTTAAACTTGATCTTTCAACTAGGTAGACTCAATTATCCATTTTATTATCACTGTTATTCATTTATGAAGTTTTTTCACCTTCGTTTTATCGTAAAAGGTAAAATTTTGCGTGTATTTTTTTCAAATAGCATGTAAAAATGAGTCGCCCCGCCCCATACCACACATGTATTACCCGCCCCGACCACTAATAGCATGAGGCGGAACATGGATATTAAGGTACCGCCCGCCCCTGACCCACTACCCATTGCCATCACTACCCGTAGGTTTTGGTTTACTTGCCATACCCAAGAGGGGAGAGTAGGATGTGGGCCGTACATCTTGTTAGCTAGATCTTACAGAGGCCTGGACCTTGTGGATGCAGCAGTACATATATGGCCAACTATTGGGCCTAAGTAAATTTGCTGAACAACCCATTCGAGGAAATGACTTCTGTGGTAGGAAATTTGACGGAGTCAAGATTGTGCCAAAACACGGTTGACTTTGGCCACTGTCGAAATAAAACGGTGGAAGGGTAAAATTGTCCGGATAGAAAATTTTATGAAAAGAAAAGATAATAACATAAATCCTAGACGGCTCTCGTTTCACATCATGGTTGTCAAACTAGTGTATACCGCCCGATTGAATCAGTATCAATCGTGAAAGACCTTTTATACCACCGACATGAAGTTGTGGTCAAATCCTGAAACAACAGTGATCCAATCGAAACGATAAGTTTCAATCATTGATCATATACTTTGTCGCAAGACATGACTATGTAAATACCAAATCCAAAGACTGGCTATTGTGTTGGAAACCACAACTTCACGACTTGGTGTCAGCAACAAAACCTCCTAGAAGAGACTATGGTGGTCTCTAGGGGTTTTAATTGGTTTGGTTCTGGTTAATCGGTAAGAAAAGCAGTATACCGAAGATTGAATGAAAAATACGTATTGAATAACTGCCTGCTAGCGCTTCGATTAGCGGTTAGTTGGCGATTATGGGTAACCACTAACAAATAACAACCTCCACTTGTATAATTTTTCTTTTGTTATTTTGAAAATTTGTATGGTATCCCTTCTAATACTAAAATATAATAGTACAAATAATTCAAAACAAATCAACTTCATTGTTAACAAAAACAATAATGATAAGAAAAAACATCAATAAAATACAACATCTAAATAATGAGTACCAACTAGCAAGACAACAAACACAAGCACCACAAGATCATCATAATTTACAAACATCAAATAAACAAAGAGGATTAGGGTGCGAGGTTCGCTCTGTTAACTCAAAGTGAAGTCAGAGAGGGGTAACTTACGGATTCGTACTCTTAAACATATTTGAGATTTTGGGTGGAGAGTTGTTTACAATAGGTGTGAATTGGGATATTTGAAGTCTCTGGTTGGTTTTGAACCCCAAAACTATGTGGTTATACTAGTAGGCGATTATCGGTTAACCAACTACGCAAAATACAACTAGCCAAAATCGAGCCACTAAGAAATGATTGGTCAAGGATTGTTCAAAAATTAGAATTTAGTACCTGTATGTTTTATATTTTGATACCTAGACGTTAACTTTTCATGAACAAATATTTTTTGAGAAGTACTATTTAGTACCTTTTTTTTAATAATATTTTAGCACCTAAAATTTTCATAAATTTCATAATGATCCAAAAATTTGATGCCACCCGAATCCATGAATCCAATTCATTAGTCGACGAATTCATTTAATCAATTCATGAATTCAATAATCCAATATATTTTCCACTTTTAACTATTATTATTAGGGTTATAGGTATAATATGCCCCTCTACTATGACGTTTTATCAAACATGCCCCTCTATTATTTTTTACATCAAACATGCCCATGTACTTTGAAAAAATTATCAAACATGTCCTTCTGTTAAAATTTTCATTGAAAAAATCATCAATCATGGTTAAACCGAGATTTAGACGACCCGACATCGACAAATGGGAGCGATGATGTCAGTTTTGTCTCCCATTTTATTTCTCTGGGTCTCTTCAGAGTGAAACTATTTGAATTATTTGGCTATACAAAAGAACAAAAAAATTCTAAAGTGAAATTATTAGCGATATTTTAAACATTTGTGCCGCCCAGACCAAAGTTCGACCTTTGTTAATGATTTTTGGATGAAAATTTAAACAAAAGGGCATGGTTGATTTTTATTTACAAAGTATAGGGACATGTTTGATCTAAAAAATAGTAAAATGACATGTTTGATAAAACGTCATATATAGAGGGGCATATTATACCTATAACCCTTATTATTAACATCTAGTAGACATGTAGTAGACCTTGAGCTAGGAGACATCCATAATATAGCTAAAAACCTATATTTTTATACAATGTTATTAATTATTCACACAAATTTACTTATATTGACGCACACAATCTATTTTTCACGCAATTTATAACCATGAGTGAAAAAAACCACTTTATTAAACTATAAGATTAATAAATGTGTACGAATATAAGTGAATATTCTACATGAAAAATTGATAATATTGCGTGAAAATTATGCATAAATGGTGGAATAGCTCCAACTCTAAGTGGAATAGCTCCAACTCTAAGTCTGATGCCCTAGTAACAGAGCAAGCAGTATCCAGCTTTTGGCCCTCTTCAAGCCTATTGTTCTTTCAACACACACCACTCAATAATAATCCTAAAAGGAAAAAAACCCCCTAAAATACAAGAATCAAATTAGAAGAGAGTAAACACTAAACTAAATAGACAAGACAGCAGTAACACTAATTATTATTAAGGAAATAATTATTGTGTTGCAATGTTTGGGGGTGTGTAAGGAGGATGAAAGGTCATTGTTCACTTTATAAATACCCCTTCTTCTCTTATCTCCCTCTTTGCTTCCATTTTCTGCACCTCTTTCTCATATCCCTTCCCTTACACACAGAGAGATTGTTAGAAGCAAGAGAGAAGAAACCTCAAAACTCTCCTCTCTCTCTAATCTCTCTCACCCCCTTAAGCCAAATAGAGCAAAGAAAGATCCCCTTAGCTTAATTACCTATCATCATATACCAATCCTTCCCACCCACCACCCAAAATCTTGCCCTTCTTCTTCCCCAAATCCATCATCCCCTTGATTCCTCTTTGCTCTCATCTCCTCATTTTTTCCTCCAAAAGGTAAAACAATCTCAACTTACCTAAAACATTTGAGACATAATTTCTCACAATCTAGGTCATTGCTTCACTTGTTTTGGGGATTTCACCAATCTCTTTCACATTTCCAAACCCTGCAGCAATCTCCTCTCCCCACTTAATTCCCAACCTAATACTCAAACTAATTACTTCCCTTTTTTTAACATATGGTTACTTAAGGAATTATTTAACTAGCTAGTTTGTGTTGAGCAGCTTCTGATTGTCATCATTTTGGTAACCCCTTTATACCATATATGCATATAGTTAACTCTTCTTCCCCTTCCATTTTTTCATCCAAATCTCTCCAAAGTTTGAATCTTTTGGCGATTTGGCAACATGGGTTTTGGTGGGTTTGTGTGATTCTAGCTGCTGGCTTCCATTTTTTTTTTTTTTTGGTATCATTTGACTCAGTCATGGGGTTGTGTTTAATGCTTGGATGTATGACTTTAAAGGGCAAGCAGCAGTTGAATTGGGAAAGATTCCATGGCGGGTTACCAGAGCGATTCGAGGGAGGATTCGCCAACGAGGAAGATAGGGAGGGGGAAGATCGAGATCAAGCGGATCGAGAACACAACTAACAGGCAGGTCACTTTCTGCAAGAGGAGGAATGGTTTGCTGAAGAAGGCATATGAATTGTCTGTGCTTTGTGATGCTGAGGTTGCTCTTATTGTCTTCTCCAGCCGTGGCCGCCTCTATGAGTATGCCAACAACAGGTACGTAATAATAATTCAAATTAAATCATAATGATTCCCTTCCCTTCTCCATCTTGGGAAATTTCATTTTGGTGCTTGTTTAATACATAATTAACTGTCAATCTATGAAAACAAAGAAATAAAAACCCTTAATTTGTTTTTTTGTCTTCCTTTATGCTCTCTTCTTGAAGGGCTTTGTTACCTCCCTTTCTAATGACTACCTTCATAACTAAATCGAGGGTTAGAAGTGGAAAAGGTTGGCTTATTACCTAGCAAGTGAAAGTTTTGATTTTTGGTTGCTTCAGAACCAGATCTTGGATGGATTTGAAGCAGAAGAACTACTTCTCCTTTTTTCTTTCCTTTCTACTTATTTTTTCCAGCCACTTTCACCTCCAAAACCAAGACCAATCAGTTCTCCCTTTCTAGTTTGCAGTCTTCTTGTTTAGCTTTCCATTTTTTCCTTTATAAGCTCATCAATTGTGGTATTGGGTTTGAGCTAGAAGTGAAATTCTGAGGGTTTGCAGTTAGATGACATAGTAGATCTGGTATGTGGGTAAGACATGAAAATAGCCACCATTATTTTTTACCACTTTTTAGTGCTGTAAAAATTTGTGCTAAGGACAGAGAAGGGAAAACAAAGAAATGGTGTAATAAAAGAAGAAGAGGTGTTGGTTTGGAATCTATGAAGGGGCAGTGACCAGTGAGTGAGATCAGCCTCTTCCCTTCCAATCTTCATCTCCCACTAGCTGTTAGAATTTATTCCATAGCTGCTGCACTTATGTTTCTGTTTCTGTTTAAGTTTCCTTCTTCTTCTCTTGGGTCATCTAAGAGAGAAATGAGGGTATGGAGACAGCCTCTTTCTTTACTGTCTTTCATTCTTTCTTTCTTTGCTTCTGTGAGTGAAAGAGAGAGAGAGAGAGAGAGAGAGGGGAAGAAGAAATGGAGGCTATGGATGGTGTCATGCTTCCTTGTTCATTAGATTGGGAAAACCCCTTTTGAGTGAGGCCTTGTTTGACACTTCCTTAATACCACGTCAGTTTCCCCCCTCACACATCAAAGATAGGTAGGGGAAGAAAGGAAGGGAGAAGAAAAGTGAAGTACAGAATCATGTCAATGGTAAAAAAATGAAAGAAGGAGCAAACCCTTGTCAGTAAATCTCGTTGGGGAAATAGAAACTTGTCAATATTAGGGTTTCAATCTAGCCAAACAAATAAAATCATAGTTGACACTAGAGAAAACAAAAAAAAAAATAAAATGTAAAACCAATGGTCCAACACAACCATTGGTTACAAATGAACTCGACCAAACTACGAATGAATACGATCAAACAACTATATCGAGGAGTCAAGTTGAATCTTGCAGTCAACAATGTGTAGAGGAGTTGTCAAAATTTCTGTCATATCACGAGAATTTAGTGAGATTTTTAGAATATTACAAATAAAATCACGTTGCTAAGACTCATTTTACTATCGTCATTACGAAACCGTACCGGGTAGCTTCACAAACATTGTTTTGGTAATTTTTATTTGTTTAGTTCTCTGTTGATCCACACGTAGGAGGATATCACCCCCCAAATCCCATTTTTAGTTTAGACTCACGTGGGGAGAAGAGAAGTGTGAAGTGATAGAAAGCCCCCAATCTTTTCCTTGCAGTCAAAACCTCAGTCAGACTGAGAGAAATAAAATAAAAAAAAGAAAACCCTCCCAAATTAGGGCTTCGTGTAATCTAGTATTTGTGTCATTTAAGATTGTTTGGGGAATGAGGTAATCCATCCTCAAAATCAAGCAACCCAACACAAAGATCTTCATATTCTTTCTTTCTTCCTCCCTCTCCCATTACCCACCAATCAAAACTCAGATACCCAGAAAGCAAAATAAGAAAAGTTTCTTTTTTTCAGTTTTTCCCAGGAGAGGGTAACTAAAAGGGTTTAGGTTAGGGTTCTTAAATCAGCAGGCTGACCATTTTTGGGGAGTGGTTTTCAGTTAAAGGAGTAAAGGTGGGTTCTTTAGCAAAAAAACAGAATCTTTGGTAACGTCACCACGCGATTTTGCAGTTCCTTCCTTGACTTCTGACACAGTACTGGTGGCTAGAGTTAAAATCTTAGTGTGTCATATTTCCCCCAAACCCTAAATTTCTGTAAAATTCGAGAAAATGGGTTGCCGCAAGTTGATCTTCTGCTCACAAGTTTAGATTCTCAGCTCAGGAACCCAGGCTGAGGGTTCTGGTATATACATAAGGTCACAATGATGATGGCACTGTTGGGTTATTAATATAAAACAATCTCTCTGCGTTTGCTTCCATCGAAAGATCTTTCCTTTAGATCCAGTTTATGCAACCCTTCTTCTGGGATTTTGATTTGAGAAAGAGGACAACTAGAAAGGTGAAGTTTTGCAGAGTTACTGCAGAACAGAGAGAAGACAAGAAACAAGCCGTACGACAGCTGAGGGGGAGCCAATGGGAGGGTTTCTGCCCGTTTTTCCTTTTGGGTTTTCTCTTCCATGCAAATGGGGTAAAAAACGTACGTCCAATTATAGCCCTGTTGCTGTTTTGGACGGCTGTGATTTGATCTGAAACTTAAATGAAGAGAAAAGGAAAACCCTTTTAGTTATTTGTTTTGGTTTCTCTCAGTTCGTCAGCTGGTGCACTGTCAAAGGGCTTAAATTGGGTTGAATAGTTTTGTTCGAGGTGGGTAATAAAGGTCGTGGGTTTAGGGGATTAACCGTCGAGTAATGGGTTCGAGACACGTGGCGTCATGTGTGACCGTTGATCGAGTCCAACCAATCATGTTTTGGTACCAAGTTGCCAAGTTGGCATGCGGCAGCCAATCAGTTGCTCGACGAAATTAAGGTTATCAGGCAGCAGGCAGCTACCCTATAAAAGAAGGGTCTTTTCAAACCCTTGCTCCTCGTTTTTCAATTTTTTCCATTTATCTTTTTTGGGGGTTTTAAAGTCAGTGAAAATCAGTTCCTTCTGACTAGTTTCTGGGAAGTGGGATTCTGGGACATTCAATATCCTGTTACCATATAGCTTGTATCTAAACCTAGAAGGAGGTTTCGTATTAGGATAATCTTGGTCAGTTTTTTGGAGAGTTGGGGGTTGATTTGACCATCATATTACATCACTTTTCCTAGGATGGGTAAACATGCCATCTCTACTAACTACTACTTGCAAAACCATGTCCATCCAACCCCATAATTTAGTAACCCTCATTTGCAGTTATGAATCATTAGTTCGTTTTATGTTAATGGAGTGTGCTTAATGAATTTGTTAAGCAATATTGAGTTGTAGGTTATAGCAACTAATCTCGCCCAAGTTATTAGCATATTGGTTAATTATTGGTTAGGGTCTATATTCGATTCGTCGGTAAGGAGGATCTCGATAGCTAGGGATGGCAATTGAATCTGAGTACATGTGTACACAACCAATCCGACCCGGTCTAAACGGGTAAAATTTAGTGCTAATGGGTTTTGGGTCGGGTGTGAATTTAACCCGCTTTTGAAATCGGCATGTTGGGTCGGGTTCGGGTTTTGCCAAAATCCAAGTAGTTTCCACCCGGCTCGCACCCATAAACAAAACGACATCATTTTGTATTACCCTGAACAATATGAATAATTTATAGATATTATTAGTCTTTGGGAAACTATAAACCTAATGATATTGATAATTTATGGATGTTAAGGAGTCTTTATGTAGATATATTTATAGGAAAAGTTTCGACAATATTACGATGTAGGTGTTCGAATATATAACATATGGTTATATTCGTTAACTCATGGGTACTCGTTGGGTTGGGTTTTCACTTCTAAAACCAATGTATATTATATCGGGTTTTCACCTCTAATACCCAATGTATATTTTATCAGATTTTTTTAATGGATGCCCAGTTGGGTTCGGTTTGAATTTCGAGAAACCCGACCCATTGCCACTCCTAACGATAGCCCGTTCGATAAGAGGGAGTCGGTTTCTCTATATTCTTATGGGTTGATGGGTTCATGTTGTTATTCCAAATTTTGGTCAATGGGTTGAGCTTTTGATCCATTCGAGTGTCTGGTTGATTCCAATGACTTCCAAAAAATAGCAAGTGGAAGTGTTAATGGTTCATTGGGTGCACCAGCTGTGGGGCATTCATTGATGGCATATTGTGTCACTAGATGCCGTCATTCTTCATATTGATTAGATGGATATCCCATGTTTTGGTTCATAATCATTCGAATCCAATCAATCAAGCTTCTCGTCTTGGAGATGATGTGTGGTTCAGTTCAATTATTACTTCTAAACCATTTCAGTTAGTGATTACATATTCTGCTTCATTAGATCTCAAAACCAAAGGTGTTTCAATTCAAATGGAGTTGGAACTCCAGGACCATTCATTTCAGTTTGTTGCCTAGAAAATTTAGTTTTTACGCTAAGATAGATTCATGGCATGATTAAGATGATTACTCCTGCAATTTATTAATAATGCTGATGGTTATGTTTGCTGTGGTTGTTATGCAGTGTTAAGGCCACCATTGATAGGTACAAGAAGGCCAATTCAGACACTGCAAACACTGGATCTGTTGCTGAGGCCAATGCTCAGGTATACAAAGTATGTATGTTTTTATAGGTCATTGTTGGTATTAATGCTATCTTTTTATCCTCGAATTATCGGTAGATCAACTCCTTGAGATCGATATACTAGACCGATCTAAGTCAAACATACCCTAGCCAGACAAGTTTGGACTTCGTCAACCATTCTTACTGTTTACCTACTGCTTCAATGTCTTCAATTCACTGTTCTTATCTAACAACTCCTGTTGAAAACTAACTTCTGTGTCAACAAAAAAAGAAACAAGGAAGCTTACTCATTGGGAAATGTAGCTCGCCCTTCCCATCAGCCTTTAATAGTCTGTGTCGCTTGAAACATTTTGACTGGCTGCTGATTGATTTGCCCAAAAGCAACATAAAGAGAACCAGGAAAAACATTAAACAAAATTTCCCAAAAGTATATTGATTGTGATTGATTGTGCCTATTCTAGGTCAAGAACCAAACTTTATTGGCATTTAGGGTTAGGGTTTTACCCAAAATGAAAGTTCATGGTTTAGACTCCTGGTTAAATGATGTTACTTTTTGTTTGTTGCTACAGCTCTCTATTTTCACTAAACCTGCACTTATTGCCTACTATTCCCTTTTGCTTTTTCCCCCCCACCCTTGCATCGGAAATGATTTGAGCAGTACTATCAGCAAGAGGCTGCCAAGCTGCGGCAGCAGATTGGGAATTTGCTGAACACAAACAGGTAAGTCTTGAATGGCAAGCTGTGACTATATTTAGAACAGGTCTTTAAGGCTTTTAACAGGAATCTTGCTATGTTGGCAAACAACTCTGGCTCTTCTTCTAGACATATGCTTGGTGAATCACTCGGAGGCCTGAATGCCAAGGAGCTCAAGAACCTGGAGAGCAAACTAGAGAAAGGAATCAGCAGAATTCGTTCCAAAAAGGTGCCTTATATAGTTGTTTTGATCACACTACAGTACTTCTCTCAACCATTTTCAGCACTGTATTTGTAGCTCTTCCTGACTTTTCCAATTTTTCTTCATCTCCCCACCAGAATGAGCTGCTGTTTGCTGAGATAGAGTATATGCAGAAGAGGGTAACTCTCCTTTTGGCTTAATGTTTCATCTATGAGTATTAGATTCAGAACCTTTTTCTCCTGACTTTGGATTCGGTTATGAGTATCAGATTCTGAGCCCTAATCTGCAATGTTGCAATACTGGTGCTAGTTGGGGGCAGATTGAGAAAAACCAGCTTAGGGTTCAGATTTCCTTAGTCCCTAGCTAACATATATATGTGCAAATGATGCAGGAAATTGATTTACACAACAACAACCAGCTTCTTCGCGCAAAGGTCCCAACTTTAGCTCTTGATTTCGTCTGTAGTTTCAATATTGACTAAGCTATTTCTAATTGAATGCCAATGGAGTCGCTGTGAGTTGATAGTGGGATGGTGTGTATTGCAGATTGCTGAGAATGAGAGGAAGCAGCAGAGCATGAGCTTGATGCCAGGAGCGAGTAGCAGCTACGAGATCGTGCAGCCACACCAGCAGTTCGACTCTCGAAACTACTTCCAAGTCAATGCATTGCAGCCCACCAACCATTACCCTCAACAAGAACACATGGCACTTCAGTTGGTGTAAGCCAACTCCCGTCTCTCTTTCCTTCCCTCCCTCCTTCCCATCTTTGCATTCTTATCCCTAAGCTTTGTTGTGATTTCTGTTTGGCAGCTGAATGTGCATCAATGGAGAGAGGGGAAAGGAAGCCATTTCTGCTCTCCCTCCAGAGTCTGTAAGAAGCACATATCTTTGTGCAGGTGTATGCCACCAAAATGCATATATGAACCAAGTGTTGTGAAGTATAATGAAGAAAAAAAAAAGGCAGTGGAAATACTAGAACACTGTTGCTGCTGCTTCAGCCTTTTGAGAGAAAAGGTCATGAAATGAAGTATCTTTCCTTTTACTACTACTGTCTACTGCTGCTGATGTGGGTTAAAAACATTGTAATTCCCCCCCATTCCTATGTTCCTCTCTTGTGCGTGATGTGATTGTCTGTGAAAGATTCATTCTCAGATTTCTTTTGTCGGTCAAACTTATAAAAGCTCTCGTCATCATTGTTATCACTAACCTATGCCTCCAATATTATATCTACTACTACTATTGTGATATATCTCAGATATGATTCTGTTGCTCTTGAGAAATCGAATTACAGTTGTCCTTAACTAAATGCTACTTGCATTTGTTAAGTTCGATTATGTGTTGGGGGTTTCGTGATTGTTGGATTGACGGAATGACAATTTATTTTGAGTAAGATAACACTGTCCATCCAACGATTACAGAGCACCCAAAATAAAGAGAAAGGAGCATGTAACTGCTGCAAAGCGGATCACAGCTTATTATTGTTGCCCTGAACTAGCAGTTCGTCACAAGATTCGTCCGAGAGCCCACCGGTAAAAGAGCGCGATCAGGCGGCTGGCCGCTTCCGTGGGATGGAAAGCGTCCCAATAGGCGTGCGCCCTTCTCAACTTGCAAGGATCCGTGTTGGGAATGCAGATTCCGGTCGCCGGGCTGGCCTTGCAGCACGGCGACGATTTGATCGGAAAAGCTGCGAAATTAATTAATTAGGTCAAGAAGAGTCATTAATAAAATGGGTTTTTTTTTCTTCTCTCGAATCAGAAAGTTGAAGAGTTATTACCTAGGCCGGCAATGGCGCCGGCGAGTGTGCTGTCCAGGTAGATGAACTTTGCGTCGGAGTCGGAGAAACGAGCGTTGAGGTTGTCGATGAGCGATTCGAGGCGGTTGTTGAACGGGACCACGAGCTTGTTCATGGATTCGACGCAGAGCGAGCCGTTGGTTCCGTAGGTTGTTATAGCACCGGGCGTGCAGCCGATTCGATTCACGCCGGCGACTCCCACCTTCCTTGCCCCCAATTCGTGGAGCCTCTAAACAACAACGGCTCGCGTCAAGAGAAATGTGGATTGTGTGGCCTAGCTACATACCACATTTTTTAAAGAAAAATCAACGAATAGGGGAGAAATTACCCTAAATCATAAATCCTACACTTAGGTCGTTTGTTTGTGGGATTTTGAAAAATGAAGGATTAGGGTAAAATCTTGGATTTTGAAATTGTAGTATTATGTTGGATTTTGCTATTTTGGATTTGTGTTGGATTTTAAAAATTGCATGTTTGCTTATTGGTTTTCAAAATGGATTTTACTATATTGGATTTATGAGTTAGATGATGAGTTTACCTTCTTATCCTTCTTTTATTCTTTATTAAAGTATTTTTTTTTGTTAAGGACGCTTTGGTCATTTCATAATTAGTGGGGTCCATGGATTTGGGCACCTCTCAAAATCTTACCTAATGAGGTGAAATTTTATAATCTGTGGGGTCCATGGCTTTTGAGCAAACAAAAATCCCATATTAATGGGCCCCACTGATTTATGTCAATATCATTTTTATCAACAAACATAGATTTGGACAATAATCCAACCCATATGAGATTTTGGGACAAAATTCCTCATCAAAATCCTACAAGCAAACGACCTCTATACCTGTGTCTATTTTGTGTCTATTTATCTATCTCTTGACTTGATAACACAAAATGGGAGCAGGTTTGCATGATGATTAGGTTGTAGTTCATCGAAGACAGAAGAGATCTACATCAAACCAATCCAAATCGTGACAAATTGAAGCGAACCAGTATTTAAGCGACCTGGATCACCGTTAGAATTTTCGATCGACCTTAGATGTAGATCGCTGGTTTGTCTAGCAACTTTGGGGCAAGATCGCTGGAGTAGAGAGTGAGCCAGTGTGGTTCGCTTCTGTTTGCCACGATCTATCAAGCCTATTGGGTTTGGTTCATTCAAGACTGTCGCAATCCACAACGGTCCGCTCTGTATTTTAGCGAACCGGTACTTAGTTGGCTTGATACCGGAAGTAAACCACTCCAAAGTTTAGTATTTTGTGACTTTTTTTTTTTAAATATCGTCATAGTAAAAATTTTAGGGAAATTTTCCTGGCTAGGGGGACTTACCACGAGCTGGTGAGAGTATTGTTCGACGAGAAGTGCAGCAAACTGGTCAGGGTTGTAGCGTTTGCTGAAGTTGGAGAATTGGGTCACGAGGTAATTAGCGATGTAATCGTTGTTGCCCATATTGCTCAAGTACAAGCATTGCCCTAGGTGGTCGTCGGCAGCCTTCTTGCTCCCCAATTTCTGAGCTATACGTGACACCGTCTCTTCGTGATTCTTCACTTGCTGGCTCATGTCTATGTTCTCACCCTGCAAAACCATTGTCAACGGGAATCTTATAGTTTGATGATTCCAACTATGTTGGTAGTAGGGATATCAGTTCGGACTTGTCGGTTAACCGAATCAAAACCATTAAAAAAACTCAAAACCAAAACTAGATAGATTGTTTCTCCAAAACTGAAAATCGAAATCCCTGAACCCCCCCCCCCAATCGAAACCGAAACCAAGTCATTTCAAAATATTGGTTTAAATCGAATCGAACCAAAACTATTTGATCGGATCCCAATTAAAACCGTTTGAAATTAAACAATCTGGTTTTCTCACTTTGCGTTTTTTTGTCGAAACCCCAAAAATCGGTTAATCCAGTTCGATTTAACCAAATTGTCCCGAATCCCACCCCCCTATGTACCCGCTGTAAATATATTAAAAATTCCATGCAACTAATGGGGGGAAAATCAGGATTATACATCAATTTAACATGAGAAAAAGAAAATCACACGATTCAGATTGAATATCTCAGGGTAAACCACTAATTCAGTAGGTCGCAGCGAGAACGGTGCTAACGTTAATGAGATGAGACCAAGTCCGATCGAGAAGGAAAGAAAAAAATTTAATTAAAGTATTGAAGAACAATCTAGCTCAATGGTGCAAAAAACCCTAATTAATTAAAAAAAATTGTACCATGTATTTCCCAGTTTCGACAAGAATTCCGGCGGTCCCAGATGCATAATTCACCCCGACGAGTATCTCAGAGTCGTTAGGCGTCGATGCAAATGGCGGGATGAAGCTCTTGAATCCCAGCAGCTCGCCTGTAGTGTGCAACTAATTATTAGAACCCTTGTTCATTAATTAATCAATGATGGACGAAATTTCTTTTTTTTTGGTAAATCCATGGACGAAATTTCTAATTGCAAAAAAAAAAAAAAAAGGTGACAAGTAATCGATGTAATTAATGTAATGATTAATCACCAACTATGTCGGCCGTGTTTCGTCCATTGGAGTACCTTCCCGTGGCGACGCCGGAAGGGAAGTCGACGCCGTAGGGAGAGTGATCGACCTTCATCGGCGTGTTGAGATGGTTGTTGTTGCCGCCGTCGAATAGGGAGTCCCCGAATATGAAATAGCAAGGCACTTTCGGCGGCGGCCGGGAGGATCCAGCGGCGCCGGCGAGGAGAGTGCTAATGATGGATAGAAATGATGATAAGCAAGAAGATGGGTGCAAATTTAATCGATTTCCCATGGCGGAACTTTTTCTTTTATTATTATTGGAAGGATAATGAACACTACTAATGAATGTACTAATGAATGTTGGGTGGTAGAAAATTAGAGAAAGGAAGTGGATACTCATATATATAAGGCCTTAATATTCGTAAGGTTATTTTTTTAAAAATGTGTTGCTCGATTTTATTCACCAAAAAGAGTGGAGGGGGTTCATAAGTGGCAGACCAACTCCGAGTACAACGGAGAGAAAGGAAAATAAAAAAAGGACATAATTAAGGTGGATCGGAAATGGAAACAAAAGAGTAAATGATTGTCGATGCAGTGAACCGTGATCAAGGTGGTTGATATGTCGAAGTCCTCGTATTTTCTTAAACTAAGCACAAGAGAGATGTCGAATCTTGACCGGAGAGAGTTTTCAAACTTGCCCAAACACAAATAACTTCATTGATTTTTTTTAGGTGAGTCCCATAGTTGAAGTGTGATTGTCCTCAAAGATTCATTAGTTTCTTTCAGTCCATCTATGCCAGAAGATAGCATGATGAGGAAGTTGGCTTAATGCTTTAGGGAACCTCCAAGATTTGCTAAGATACCTCCGTTGCTGGAGAAGCTCACGGCATGTGCGAGGTATGGGTCCAAATAAACATTAGTCGCACAAGATAGTGGTACCAAACATGTTTAGCATATATACAATGGAGAAGGCGGCTGTCCTTTCTCCCTCTTCTTTTTTGCTCTGTCCTCTCACTAGAACTAAAACATTCAAGCCTCCATGGGGGCTGCTGTCGGCGCTCCTCCGGCGACCGGCGGCAGCCCTCAGCCTCTTCTTTCTTGCGATTTTCCTCTCCTTTCCTTTTTCATCTCCTCTACTCTCTTGCTTCGCTTCCTTTCGTAGTTTAGTTCCCTTTTCCTTTTTTCTCTCAGATCTTGTCATCGATTGGCTTGTTTTTCCTTGTGTGGTTGGCCCTTGCTCCTTGTGAGTTTCTTCCTTCCCCTTCAATGGGTTGATCTTTTGGCCTCTGGTATGTTTGTTCATATCTGGAGATGAATCGTTTCTAAGATGCAAAGGAGGCTGGATCTTTTCAAGATTTGGCTTGTTTTCTCCTCTTCCTTCCCCTTGTCTACCTCCTTGCTTCACCTTGCAGATCTTGGTGTTTCGGAGATGTAGACCTTGGCTTGGACTCGGTTGGAGAGCTTTGAAGACATAAGACTCTCCCCTCTGGTTCCATCGTCGGCCGCCCGATTTTTCTGAAGCTTCCTCTTGTGTGGTGGTCGCTGAGATGCAGATGACGATTGGCTTGGAGAGGTTCTAGTCAGAGGTTTGTTCTTCTACTCCTCTCTTTTTGAGTTGGTTGGACCCTCAAATCTTGGTTGGTGTGAGCGACGGTTCTGGGTAGTTCCCAGCGGCAACAGAGGCATTAGATGGGGCATCTAGGCGGCTAGGGTTTGGTTGGCTGAAGCAATGTTTGAGCTCCTCGTCTAGGCCCTATTGGGTGCTGGATTTTTGGGTGGGCTTGTTGATTTAGTTTTTTTCAACCTTTGCTACCTAATGCTTGTAGACTTTTCCTCTGGGCTTGGCCCATTTGCTCTTAATGAAATCCAAACTTTCAAAAAAAAAAAAAAAAGGAGAAGGAGATGATCTGTCGATTCTTCTGACACAAAGCACATAGTGTTTTCCGGCGAGAAAACTTGCGTTGAAATGAGATTAATGCACCTTTGACTTCTTTGGGCAACGATTACTAAGACACGACCCACACCTCTTCAAACAAAGTTCGAACGAGGGTGCTTGATTGATGGTTTCTGGGAACGAGATCTAAATTAAATTACTTCTACTCCTATGGAGGTTCGGCGAGAGCTCCAAACTACGAACTACATCTATGGCTACATGATAGAGAAAAGGTAAAGGATAAACTTGACATGTGTGTCAGAGTGTTGGTCTTGGAACCTCTGTCTCTGTCGACCCCTCCTCTTATTTATAGCCCCGAGGAGGTAACCGCCATAGAAAACCGCTTGTTGGATAACTGCTACAAAGAACCGCTCCTCCTTCTTCGGTAGAAAACCGCCTCTTGGATAACTCCCAAAAAGAACCGCTCCCTGCTTCCTCGGAGTGGTGGTTACTCCTTCAACCGCCTAGGTGCCTCTTGGAACCGTCGTGGGTTTTAGAGTGTAGCTTGCCTCGCCTGGTCTTGTTCTGAATCTCGTGCCATGCTAGTCTTTTGACGAGCATGTGGTGTCTCACAAAGGGGGTCATGGTCTTCTTGCCTCGCGGCCATGGACTTCTTACTCATGTCCATGGCCTTCTTGTCTTACGGTCATGGACTTCTTACTCATGTCCATGGCCCACTTGGGACTTAGTCATTACTGATATAGTGCTCCACCACCACGCCCTTCTCATTCGTGTCCATGGCCACACTTGTGAAGTGGCATGGACTTCTCAATCATGTACAAGGCCCCTCTCATGAGGCAGCATGGCCTTTCCATACTTAGTATTTTCAATCATTTCTAATGCTTCTTGCTTCGCATCCATGGCCATCACACGACACGGTCATGGACCTCTTAATCATGCACATGACCCTTCTCGCGAGGCGGCATGGCCTTCTCAGACTTAGTATATTTTGGATCATGAGGCGACATGGCCTCCTCATTCGCGGCCATGGACGTCTCAGTCATGTCTGTGACCCTTCTCGTGACACAACATGGCCCTCTCATACTTAGTATCTTTTCTTGCGTCCATTCCCCTTCTCGTGAAGTGGCATGGACGTCTCATCTTGTCTCGCGTCCATGCCCCTTCTCGTGAAGCGACATGGACCTCTCGTTGAAGTGGCACATGCTTCACATCAAAGTCTAATAACTTCGACTCAAAATTTCCACTTTGTTATTTTCTCTCTATTTTTTCTTATATAGTCATGATTGGCTTTTATTTATTTATTAATATATATGATATTTATTTATTTATTTAAGATAACAAGGAGTGACAAACGTCACTGCTCTCCATCGCCTCTGGCAACAACTAATGTGCCAAAGGTGTACACCCACTGCCAAGTCCATGGATTGAAGCAGGCAAGCCATCCATAGACCACATGACTCTTTTTCTCTATGGGAGATGACTTTCCATACATTTTTGAATTTTCTAACTTACCACTGAGTGGTATATGGTCGGTATGTCTTGCCTTGGTGGCCTTACATGGGGTCCCATGCTCCTGTGCTTTGGCCACCTTACTTGACATGTCAAGACAACCATGAGTTTCCTCTGCCTTGGTTGCCTCTCGATTGAGACATGCTTACTCCCCTCATGTTGTTGGAGACGATGTCCAGTCTTGACAAGTCGGCGACCACCCATGTGGCCCACTTGACTTCGTCTTTCAACATTCAAACCTTGTTGGCCCCTACACTTAGCACACATTCATCCTTGGTTCTTTGTGAGGTCATGTTTGGTTTGTGCGTATGGTGCGTTCTTATACATGCCCCTATGTCCATCATTCATGATTGATGGCATGTACTTACTACTCATAAACATGGACTTGCCCCCCTGTCCACACTTAGCCAAACTTGTGTATTTATCACAAGCATGTGTAGGCTGGAATTCTTTTAGCTTCTTGGACATGCCCCCTACTCCATTATTTATGGTGGGTGATATGCCTCCTTTCCCATATTTAGCTAAATTTTCAAGACTACGAGAACTCTTTTTGGCTTTCCCACATCTTTTCTTGTTGGACTTGACCTCATGTCCGCTGTTGATGATTGGTGGCATGCCCTCTTGTCCATACTTAACCATAGTTTTACACTTGTAAAAGCCATGGGTGGCTTGGAGCTG